TTTCTTTCATCAAACTACCATCTAACGTCATCGTTTCAATAAGATTAAGAAGCTCCAAGATGGGCATGGGGTGTGGCGTGAGGATTTTGCTAGTATTAATCGGATTGTCAACGAGCATTTCAATAATCTGTTTACCACTATGGGATGAATGAAGTGGGAGTTTGTGATTGGGTGTGTCCATCAATCAGTTTCGGATGATATGAACTCTCACCTCACAAGACCGGCTGTTCTGGAAGAGATTAAAGAGGCTGTGTTTCAGATAGGGGGGATGAAGGCACTGGGGCCGGACGGATTTCAAGGAGTCTTCTACCACTCATACTGGGATATAATTATGGATGAAGTTTCGCCAATCCTACCTTGATAATTCAGTGTTTCGCCCAATTAGCCTTTGCAACTACTCCTATAAAATCTTTTTGAAGATGTTGGCAAATAGGTTGAAACCATGCTACCCATAATTATTTCCCCTTCCCATAATGTTTTCATTAGGGGAAGACAAATCCAAGACAACATCCTTGTGGCACATAAAGTATTCCACTTTCCAATGCTTAGAAAGGTTAAGACGAAGTTCGAGCGTGCAATAAAAATTGATATGAATAAGGCCTATGACCGAATTAAGTGGGATTTCCTGGAATTTGTTATGGTTCAAACGGGGTTCTATCGGTGATGGATTGATATGGTGATGGGGTGTGTGTCTACGGTTGATTTCTCAGTTTTCATTAATGGTCAATCGGGGAAACGCTTCAAGTCATCTCAGGGGCTTAGACAAGGAGATCCTCTGTCTTGGTATTTGTTTCTAGTTGTCATGGATGTGATCTTAGGATTAATTCAAGGGGTTATTGGTGATGGATTTATTGAAAGAATAAAATCAGCTAGAATGGACCATCTCTATCCCATTTGTTGTTTGCCGACGATACTCTCATTTTCCTTCGGGCCTCTTCGGTGAACTGTCAAAACATGGTGCGGCTCCTAAACGCCTATTGCCTAACATCGAGTCAAGAAGTAAGTATACAAAAATCATTTATTTTCTTTGAGGCTAACACCTCTACTGGACTCCGTGAGGAATTATGCAATATTATGGGTATGCCGCAGGTGGCAGATCCTGGAAATTATCTGGGCATTCTAACTGTTTGGGGAAGTCGAAACAATAAGCCCTGGCATTTGTGAAGGATCAGGTGATGCACAGATTCAAAGGTGGAAACATAGTTTGTTAGATCTCACATCGCCCAGGGGAATGATCCTTATATGTATATTCTTATCCCTACCTAGCACGAGGCCTTTTGGGAGCTTATTGGCTTCGGGTTTCGTAGGAACTCCGAAGTTAAGCTAGTTCGCGTGAGAGCAATCCCAGGATTGGTGACCTACTAGGAAGTTCTTGAGTGAGTTCCCAGAAATAAAACCATGAGGGCGTGGTCGGCGCCCAAAGCAAACAATATTGTGCTACGGTAGAGTCGAGCCCAGGATGTGGTGGGGGCCCAAGCCAGGATGTGACATATTTTCCTCTCCCAAGCTGGTAGGGAAGTGTTAATTAAGGCTGTTACCCAAGCTATCCCGGCTTACCCCATGAATATCTTCTATTTTCCCGACAATATATACAATGATATTGATGCTATGATTGCTAATATCTAGTGGGGACAAAGGTGGTGAGCGAAAAATCCATTGGGCGAGTCGACAGGTTTTGGGTTTATCAAAACAGAAGAAAGTATGGGGTTTTAGAACCTGAAGGATTTTAACCTCTTATTATTGGCTAAACAATGTCGACAATTAGTACAACCCCCTAAGTCATTGTGGGCTGAAGTTATCAAGGATATATATTTCCCAAATTGCTCTTTCCTCAAAGCCTCCAAAGGGGGAAGGGCCTCTTGGGCATGGACTAGTCTCATTGCAGGGTCGAGAGATCATTGCAAAAGACTTGCACTAACAGATTATAGGTGGTGAGCATGTTCGTGTTTGGGTGGATTGTTAGGTCCCAACCCTTGGGTTTGGGCACCCATGCCTGGCCCCGGGAGTTGCGATGGACCCTCTTATGACAATATATTCCTTAATCGATACCCATTCCCGTGCTTGACAGTTGGAGTCTATTGAATGACAGGTGGTTGAGGTAGATAAACGGGCAATTCTAGATACTCCGATTGGTGTCCCCGAGTAGAGTGATTGTTTGATTTGGCCGTATGATATAAGGGGTCAGTATTTGGTTAAATCAAGATATCATTGGACCCACGAAGTTACTTGGCGGGTACGGGTTCTTCGTCATTCTTCCTTAACAGTTGTTGACTCGGGTGTCTGGAAAAGGTTATGGTCCATGTCTCCCACACCAAAAATTAAACATTTTATGTGGAAAGCTATTAAGGGGGCTATCGCTACAAAGGCTAATCTATTCCGGCGCAAGTGTGCTTCTTGCCCAATTTGTCCGATTTGCTTGGAGCATAAGGAGTCCATTAAGCATGTCTTACTGCTATGTCCTTGGGTGGATCGAGTATGGGTGGAAGGGTCATTTGGGCCTAAGAATTGATAAGTCATCAATCTTTTCTATATCTTATTGGGTTAATGGTATATGGAGCAACCATTTGGGGTAAAAGAAGGATAAGAAGAAAACATTAGCCCACATTGTGTTCACCTGTTGGTCAATCTGGAAGGAACGGTGCGAGGTGGTCTTCAATTCTTGACAACCATCCCTGGTGAAAACCATTCTTGCTGTCTCCATGGCAGCCTTATCTTTCTTGGAGGCTTGCTCGGAATGGGGAATGACGCGGTGTATAACGACTAATGGATCTAATGCTTCTCCAAGCTAAACTCTGTCGGTGCACGGGGTGGTTAAGGTAAATGCGGATGCTAGCTGGTTTGTGACTCTACCTGCCGGTTTTTGGCTGTGTGGAGAAGAGAAATCAGGGCCAATAATGTATTGGCGGCTAAAGTGATGGGAATCTTGAAGGGTTGTGAGATGGCTAAACAGAGGGGCTTTGAGCATATTGTGATGTAGTTGGACTCGAAGGAGCTCATTTCTTGGTTGAATGGAAGTATTGACCAAGGAAATTGGGAAGTCTTCTTGACCTTGTGTGAGATTTGCAGATATAGTGCGAATTTCAGGTCGTGTTAGTAGTCTTGGGTGCCGAGAACAGCTAATGGAGCGGCGAATTTTGTAGCGTCGCATGTAAGAACGGAGATGTGTGACTTAGTCTGGGTTTAATGACCCCCATCTTCGTTTGTTCATATTCTAAATAAGGACAACCTACCTTGCCCTCCAATGTAGTTTTAGTTTTGACGTGATTAAGGTGACATGGGAAAGTTTATATGTTGTAGTTTTTCCTTATTCTCGTTTATGTTTGTTGGCCTGACGTGGCCTTCTATACTCCTCTTGGCTTTGGCATGGTGAATGTATTTTCCAGTTTCTTCAAAAAAAAAAAAAATAACTAAACTCGTTTTTGGGGCTAGGATGATGCCCTAGCATGGATGTTTATGGTTTTTTATGACTATTTGATGGATGTTTAGTTTTATTGGATGGATTTTTATTCACTACGAGAATTGAATGCTTATGTTCCAGTTCTTTGACTGATCACCTTAAGGCTTGCATATAGTAATTTGAAGGCGGATTTGAGGCGTAACTGCAGTATAATTTGAATATTAGCTTCTTGTGAATAAGGGTTGTGAATTACATAAAAAGATTTATGGTTTGCTTGATTCTCTCGTTCTTGTGTATGTCATGAGTTCTACATGTTAAATTTATGCCCTAATCGGATAGACTGCAGGTTAGAAATTAGGATATACAACCTCTGCCCTAACAAGAGAGAATCATATACTTAAGGAGAACTATGATCTATAGTACCTTAACCGGACTTATACGAAAATTGTCATCTAAAAGATCAAATATTCCATTTAATGCATTAAAACCTGAACTGGATTGCTTGTGGTTGATTCTGAATCCCTAGACCTTCATCCCTTGCAAAACGCTACACAACGATTATTTTGTACACTTGGAATTGTAGACCACTCTCCAAGCGAGAAGATATTATGAAACCAGCGGATGATTTATCAACACCTGCCAAATGATACTTTTAGTCATATAAATTCTCAACTAACATTGAATACTTTGGAACATTTGTAGAGAATTCAGACACATGTTTTATTGAATAAACATAATCCAACCCAATTTTGGGTGGTAAATTTGGATGGAATTCTTGTTATGCGTTTGAATTTTTGAGTTCTGATACCTTCGTTGTATTGAACACAAAGTTGGTTTTAACATGGTCTATTTACGAGCGGTGAAGAGAACGGTCTTTGTCTCATTGCCAATGGGACACTCAACAATGTGACAGGCGCTCTACGCTACATAAAGATTAAGGCTTTTGTCAAATTTTCTCCTTTTTGGTTGAATGGGGTTTTTTTCTAGTTTATTTTGGCCTGAGAGACTTGGTTCTTACAATCTGTTTTTTGGTTGGTTGCGTCTAAAGTGCAAAGTTTGTACGAAATGGATACCTTCAAATTCCTTCAATCTCTGCTCATTAGATCTTGCAACAATGTTGAAACGTTGTTATTATTATTTTTTATTACAAGAGATATTACTATTCATAACCAAAGAGAATTTGAATTTAAAATATCGTATGTTGATAAAGGAGGAATTACCAGCACATCAAGTGTTATAACACAATTGATTGAAAACTTCAAAAGAAAATTTTTATTTAATTATATTATGACACTTGTTGTATCGAATTAGATTCCTAACACACTGAAAAATTCTTAATTGATAAAGAACTCTAACGCCTAGTACAATCTACATGCCAAATACCAACATTGTTTTCTTTTAAAATTAAAAAAAAATCAATGAAAATGGTTTGAAAATTTTGATTTTTAACGATAAGAACAAAATAAAAGATAAAATAAATAATACACTTTTTAATGTAAAAATATGATTTTTCATTACAATGAAAACTTTTCGTTAAAGTTTTATTTAAAATTTTTATGTGCTCGAAAAGAAAAAATAATATAAAATGAGGGCGCAAGTAGTCGATCCCAGTCCCACCCCAAATTCGATCTAGGGTTAGGGTTGAATAAATTAAGGACACAAATTGGAATTTCGAACAGAGAGAAGAATGGCGACGACGACAGCGAATAATTTAGGGACAGTGACGGCGAAGAGAAAGCCGGTGTTCGTAAAGGTGGAGCAGCTCCAGCCAAACACGAACGGCCACACCCTCACGGTGAAGGTGGTGAGCTCGAAGCCGGTGAAGGTCACCAACAAGAACGGCGGTCGATCATCTTTGTCGTCTCGGCCTATTCAGCCCGCTCGCATCGCTGAGTGCCTCGTTGGCGACGAGACGGGGACCATTCTCTTCACCGCTCGCAATGACCAAGGTATATAATTCATGATTCTGCAAGTGTTACCATACAAGCTAATTATCTATTTACTGTAAAATGTGAATTATGGTATGTATTATTTGGATTTGTGTTTGGTTTTTTATGGGTAATAAGGTTTGAGTTGTGTTTAACTGTTTCATTTACGCAAAAGGGAAACCATGATTAGGATTACAGGGAGAATTTCTGTTTTGGGTTTGATTTGATTCATTAGTAGTTTTAGTGAAATGTCTGCTTTTGGTATAATGTTTGATTGTTTGGAGGCCAGGCTATGATCTCTAACCCTGCTATCGGTTTAGTATGTTCAGGGCTCGTTTGGTAAGAAGGATTGAATCGGAATGGATAGCTGTCAAAATTCAATGTATTTTGAAGGTGCAGGAGAGGGGTTTTTCATTTTAAGGGGATTTGAAGAGGATTAGATATGAAGAAAACTTCTCCCTTCTACTCCCGCATTTTGGGGATGGATTGGATTGGATAACTTTTCATAATCCATTTTCTACCTCCAAGCTGCTTATTCATTGTAATCCAATCCTCCATACCAAACGAGGCCTTATATCTTGGATGGACTATTTGTACAAGGAATGCTAGTTGGGACCCAATTAGATCGAATAAAATTATGTATATTCTGTTGTTGGGGGTTATTTTTGTTTTTTTGAATGTAATTTAATTGATGACCTCACATTATATATGTGCAGTTGACACAATGAAGCCAGACACAACTGTGAACCTGCGTAATGCAAAGATTGACATGTTCAAGGGGACCATGAGGCTAGCAGTCGACAAATGGGGACGTGTTGAAGTCACCGAACCAGCTACCTTCCAAGTTAAAGAGGATAACAATCTTTCTCTCATTGAGTACGAGTTGGTTAACGTTGAAGAGTGAATGATGAGTATATTGCGGGAGTGGATGCTGATGAGGTTTCTAGTAAGAGGTTAGTTAGATATGTATGTGTGCCTAACCATTAATGTAAGCGAGATGCAACTTGTTGATGTGCCTGTCTTTCTGTCTCTGGTCTTGCGATTGCCGTGCTTTTTGTTTTAGAGGAGTGAGTCTGGGTGGTGATGTAATATGACTAGGGCATGATTTGGAAGTTTTAAACGGTCTCTTTTGTTGTTGGAATTCGAATCTGGAAACAACTCCGCTAGTTGTATTTGATAAATCATGCATTGTGTACATCATTTGCGTATGTCTTTTGCCATCAACTACATAGTTGCTGTTGTATTTGTTTTCTGCAAACAAAAAAGAATTTATTTTATTTTATTTTTCTTTTGAAACTTTGATGGAACTGCGGCCAGGTTTTGGAATTGATTTCAAATCAATGTTTACAGGAGTGCGTTAGAACGTTTGAAAAAATATGTTTGTGTTTCATTTTTATATTGGTCCATTGAGTCCGATAATTCGAATATGGTTTCTATCTTGTGGCAAAGTCAACTTAAATATGACCCGCTAGATTTAACTATGATTTATTCGGCTTGATATAATATAAATCTTTTCCATCTCCTCATCTTTTTGTGAACATCGTGCATAAAGAATAATTTGAGCATCCAAGTAGTTTGTTAATGAGATTTTAATTTTCTCTGTGATTAGCGTATCGCATTTTCAAACAAAGATATTGCTATTTACTCTTTTTTAACTTTTTACACACATTTCCTAATTTCGACCATCGAATCAAATGAATTAAAGAAGATGAAAAAACAGAAATCAACATAGTATATAAGTAAAAAAAAAAAACGTGCGAATACTGAATAGCACCACTAAAGAAAAAAGGAAGCACCACAATAAATTCGTGGATTCCTTCCTAAACATGTTCTCACTCCCCTTGCAACCCGAACATACGAACGCTAGTGTTCCAAATGACGTCAATACGTGAGGTTTTGGCGAAAAGCTGAAAGCCTAAAACCTGAACCACCAGTTGTATAGCTAAAGAGATTACGCTCATTCGGTTGGCTTCAACACTCTCTTTTATTCAGAATCAACACAGCCGCCCTCCACCTCCACCTCCACCGCCACCGCCACCCCCACCCCATCAAGAGTTGAAATACCAACGCAACAAAGCTACATGAAATTTCTAAACCCAGCGAGAGTGGCCGACATCATCATTTGACAACTAAGAAAAAGTTAAGAATTCCATACAAGAACTTGCTTGCAATCAAAGAAGGTACGCATCCAGGCCGATGGAAAAGCAATCGTCACAGGAGAGATGAAAAGGATGATGAAGGTAAGAATATATGAGTAAGAGGGTACGAATTGACGAGACAAACTGTTGAAAATAGTAGAGTTCAATCATTCAAAAGAAACTAAATTAAAATCACATCTTGTTGACTACTATCACTAACCACAAATACGAGTGAGATGCGAGTGGGAGAACACTACAAAAGAGGGGAGGGAATGACAGTGTACGAGTGATGAGGACTGTGGCTGTTTGCTGCTCTATTATAAAAAGTGGCCAAATGAAATGTAAGCTCAGGATCGCAAAACACTGTTTATTGCGCTTTGAGTTTGGAGGTCAACATATTGAAAGGATTGATCAGCATTCCTCAAGAATCTGCGCACGGATTGAAAAGGAAGAATAAACATGTCAGCTATTCGAGATATCTGCAGGGTTCTGGCAAAACCATAAAAGAAGAAGCAGAATTGGAATGCGAAATCAAGTAGCCCCTAACAACCTTTGACACTTTCTACGCAGCGTAACATAGATCATGGATCATGTATGAGCCGAAATGCTTGCAAACCCAAACTTGAATGGGTGAACATGTTCCTCACCACTTGATCAAGGATTACAAAGTCCAAGCTTGACTTGAGTATACCCCAAACTCCACTCACTAATATTCATCCCTTCTACCACAACATAATACTACGATAATTTCTACAAATCGAGCATATACCCAAACATAGAACTGGATTCTTTTCTAATTGCCAAGTCGAAGCGTTTACACAAATGGCACTGGAAGGGCTTATATGCTTTAAAAGGTGGAAGCTACTTTTTCTTCATATCAGATGCAATACCACCTCATGGCCCCAAATGCAAATGATTTTTCTTCTAATAAAAGAGCAAAGAGAGAAATAGAAAATTTGCTAGACATGATTCAAAGCCACCAGGATTTAAAAAAAATAAAAGGAAAAAGAAAAACAATAACATGCAGAGAAGATTATATATTCATCTGGGCAATGTAGTCATACAATTCTTACATATAATATTCTCTTTGTACTCAGACCCCCCCTCCCTAAAGGGAAAAAGGCGAAAGAGCATAAAAAATGAGAAGGTATTTCAGAACAGATTCATGCGGTAAGCATGCATTATTAAGCTTCCAAGACATCATTCTCTTCAAGTGCAATAATTTTGAACAGACTTCTACCCGACCTCACTGGACAAAGATCATGCATCATCGTTGCAAGCTGATTAAATACAATGACTCTTTGGTCAGTAACATCAATGCAAAGGAAACAAATCAAATATGCCGCAATACAAAAGATTGCCACTTTATAAGTGTAAAGCAGAAACACAAAGGAAATGTCTTTAGGACTTTAGAAAAAGGTAACCAAGTCTACTCGTTGATCTAGGTTTAAAAGCTCAGTACATGCAACTTATCTCTTGTGCAGCTCATTCAAAACTCCTAATTACCAGCAGTCACTGCCTTCTAAGTACATAAAACTTCCTTGAATCCTTGGAACATTCATCACACATCATCATTGCAAGCTGATCAAATAAAAATGATCAGTACACTAATTTTTTGATTATCGTGGTTCAAACATTTTTAAACTCCATTTAAACATGTAAAACATTCAGAGCCCAGAGCATGTAATATTTATCACCCTTGAATTTGGGACTCCTAAGTTAAAAGAGTAGAGGAGAGGTGACACGGAAGAAGCAATGAGAAGAGCAGAGATAAGATTTCACTTGGGTGCATTTTCTTGTAACTTTAACAATAACAAGATACAATCTCATTAAAATACAATTTCAAATCCGTCTTCAACAGTTTACCTATCATTGATGATTCGATATCTTAAAAATCTCCATGAATTCAAACACATGTAGAGTATTTCTCAATACAACTGAAGCCATCATAAAATAAAATTGCCATGAGATAACTCAACACTCAACACATCTAATGGACTCCAATAAACTTTTCCTTAAAAAAAACTTCTACAAATTTAAAGAACATAAAAGTTCTCCAATCCATCTTAAAAGCTTGAAATTTTAACAAATCAAAGTTACTCCAATATCGCTTCTTGATCTTCATCTGTCTTGGCCTACAGCAATAAAAAAAGGTATTTTGCACCTTTCACTAATATGTAGGAGTACGGGAAGAGATATTGACTTAGTTATTAAGACAGAAATTGAACAAAAAAAAAAAAAAAAAAAAAAGAGAGAGAGAGTTAAAATCCACCATATTGAGCTATTAGTACCTAAGAAATTTGTTCTTGGAAGTTAAAGATCATAAAACTTACTTAATGAACATCTTGTATCATGAGAGACGCATATGATATGACTCTGTAATGACAATTCAGAATTTATGGATTCTAAATATCTGAACCCAACATAAATAACCACTAACTTACCGAAAAAGGAAGAAAACGATATCAAGGGACCTTACAAGTGTTCGCTAGATACCTAATTCAAGAATAAAACCCCAACGATTAGGCAGCTGACAAACAAACTACTTCTTTGTTGAAACTTGAACATAATGATGCAAGGCTGCTCCTAAAAAATATGCAACCGCACCAAAATCCTAGCAGGAGGAGGACTAAGAAGCACAAGCAGAATAAGAGTGGATATTAGCACTGGCATAATGAGATAAGAAATCCTCCCATCTCGTCGAGTGTCTATTCTTTTGTTAGTTCTACTAAGATAATCTAAAATGATCAAAACTCCAATATCAGTGTACAAATGAGGCTCGATATTACGAAAATGGATGGACTTGTTACACAGAAACATAAGAATGTGCTTATGTAGAAATGAAAGTTGGAAACTTCCACAGAAATAGTTCCATAAGTTGAATGCTTCCATCAAATCGAAAACTATGTCAGGGGATTAGAAAGCATTCATATTTCGATTTTTGACATGTTTATTCATAACAGCCACATTGAAATGGAAACGACACGAAGTAAAGAAAAAGGGATATTTCAATGTCAAATTCAATTTCAATTTCGATCCTATTGCACCAAACAGTAGTTTTACAGTGAAACCAAAACACAGTAGCAGTCACCAGGAAAAAAAAAAGCCAAAAGTGCAACAATGAGGGCAGCATCGACTCCAATTTCCAACAAACCCAAAGAAAAATACACAAATTCAGGAAGAAATTGGTGAAAGTGAGAGTGAGAGTACCTTCTGAAAGCCAGCCATAACTGTGGCGAGTGACAGAGAGCATTGAGTTCATCAAAGCCGAAGCTGTTGCAGTGTGGTAGGGCAGCATCGACTCCACGCAGAAGCTCAATTGAACAGGAGACCGGAGCGCGGGAAAAGGAGAAGAAGAGGACGGCCGCTTCCCGGCCATGCGGAACGGGGAACGGGCGGCTTTGGCTTCGGGGGCGAGACGCGCCGCACAGCCAGAGCTGCGGGCGGCGCAGGAGCGGAAAATGGATCTGGCGGCTCCTGAGGTGGCCATTGATTCTTACTATTTCTCAGAGGCGGAAGATTTAGGGTTTTGGATGCTTGCCACTCCAACACTGGGGACGTGTTTGAGAGTTCGGTCTTTTTCATTTTGTATCGAGTAACGTTCTTATTTATTCTCTAACGCGACGTTTGTTTGCCTTCACTAAGTCGGACTGGACTGGACTGGACTAGCTATTAGTCCAATACCGTGTTTGTTCCATGCTGGGACTAACATTAATAAGACTAAAGGGGACTAGCATGGACAAAACCCTTCATTAAGAGGTCTTAACGAGACCCCCCAAATAACCATGGGACTAGCTAAGACTATCATCTCTTTCTCGTCCTCGTCATGCTCAACGACCACTTCCGACAGACTCTTCGCTATCTCCGGTCACCTAGATCAATCATTAACTTTCCGACTCTCTTTCAGATCCATTTCACAACCAACTTTCATATAAAATATACCAAATTGAAGCTGGGAGTGATAAGATTACTATTTTACCTGAATTGAGGCCAAAATGTGGTCGAATGTGACCAGAAAATGGCCTGGAAGTCTCGGCCTGTTTGGGCTTCTTCAAATCCATGACAGATTCGAGCGTGCAAAGCTAAGATCTCGGTCCAGGGATGGTGATGAATTTTTGGCGGTGCTAACTTCATCCAATTTAACAAGGGTTGGCCGGAAAACACATCGGGAAACCTGCAACTCGTAGGGAAAATTGGAGCCGTGAGGTTCCGTTCGAACAACGCATAGCTAAAGAGGGAGGGAGAACAAAGAAATAAAGACTAAAATCAATAAGGAGTTTGACTAGGAATGAGAAAGAGACATGAATTGAGAGGTCTGAGAGGAAAAAAAGAGGGAGAGTGTGGGACGATGAGAGAAGAGGAAGAGAGTGGGACGGAAATGGTAGGAAAAGATAGAGAAAAAGATAAGATCATAATAAAATATTAATAATTTATATATTAAATAATATAATATTAAAATTTGTTATTATCCAGCTTCTTAGTCCAATACTGCACCAAACGCTTCATTAAGTTAGTCCAGTTTAGTCTAGTCTAAGCCAGTCCAGCTTAATCCTTAAAGCTAATCCAGTCTGAGATAATCCGGCGCAACAAACGCCCCATAAATTCTTATTTTTATTATATATTTTTAACAAGTTTTAAAAAAGAAAAAAAATTGTCACCTACTACGGTCTAATGATATTCCTTCATCGCTTATAAATGACAGATTTTAAATTTGATTCTCACCAAAAATAAATATGAATTACATTTTTACTAATCTACTGCAATGCTTAGCCTAATCACTCCCGTAGATAATATCGTTAATTCTAAAAAAACAAAAAAAAAAAAGCTTTCGACCCAAACTAGAACTTGGACCCGGTTCGATGGGGAATATATATATATATATATATATATATATATATTTTAACAAATAATATTTTCTGTATTAAAATGCTGGAAAAATAAGCTAGTTTCACAATAAATTAACAATAATGTATTATAAATTCGTTTTTATCAAGAATTAAACCTAAGAATCTAAATAACTTAGGCCTTATATTTATATATATATTTTTTGAATAGGTGAAATTGAAAAAGATAAAAAGCAAAATATTATTAACGAAAAAAAAATAAACTGCCGACCCGGACCCGTTGGGGAAGTTGGGAATCCACCCGAAGGTGAATAAAGTTGAAAGAGAAGGGTGGCCAAAGCTACCGCTTCCTCTTCGTCTTCCTGTTCCAGGTACTCTCTCTCCCTTCGGACCTAAAATATTAGGGTTTATAGTTGCTTTAATCAACTAATACCTGCCGTTCCTCTAATGATTTTATCACACATTATTTTTTTTCTCTATAATTTTTTTATTGAAATTAAACTCATATATTCTGTTATTTAGTGCAGATTGATAAAATTTCTGCAACTTGTTTCTTCAATTTTACCTGACTGATTAGCCCTCGGTTACACACGGCCATGGCTTCCTTGTTTAAGGTAAATTTATTAAGTCCGCTCCCTCTCATTTGTTGGACTTCAAATCTGGCGCTTTTAGTTTGTCAAAGATTGATGAAGATAGCATACGCTTGTTATCCTTTGCAATTTTGTTAGGAGCAATCGAAGCTTTCGCAGTACCGGGATAGACGGTTTCCCGGTTCACAGGAGGAATTTGAACAAGCCCTCCTGGCATCAACCACTGTTTACATTGGGAATATGTCCTTCTATACGACAGAAGAGCAAGTTTATGAGCTCTTCTCTCGCGCCGGAGAAATTAAGAAGATAATTATGGGCTTGGATAAGAATACAAAGACGCCTTGTGGTTTTTGTTTTGTTTTGTAAGTCGCCGTCTTCTTTGTATTGTTGATGTTTTGAAAGGAAATAGTTTGTCAAGATATGTGTTAGGTGCCTAATCCGAAAAATTTATTTACAGATACTATTCTCGAGAGGATACTGAGGATGCTGTCAAATATATAAGCGGGACTATTCTTGATGATCGCCCTATTCGTGTGGATTTCGACTGGGGATTTCAAGAGGGAAGGCAATGGGGTCGTGGGCGAAGTGGTGGACAGGTTGATTACTCTACTCTGCCTTCTTGTCATGGGAAAAATGTACCATTCGGATTGTTTTGATTTTATCTTCTCTGTTTTGCAGGTGCGTGATGAATATCGTACTGATTATGATCCTGATATCCTTTTCTTTTAGTTTGGAATGTCTGGTAAAGCTTTCTTCAGTATGGTTTATAATTATAATGTTGCTCGTTCCCTTGGGATTAAAATTGGGGCCCGAGCTTTTATTTTTCTTGCAAATCTAGATAGATTATCCAAGCTAAACTTATATATGTGGCTGCCTTTGCATTCAATTTCGATTTAAGTTCTTTTGCTATCATGGTTTCTGTTTCACAAACTTGAGAATTTTAAGGATTGGTAGGTTGAGCATGTTGTAAATGATTTTAAAATGTATGGGGCTGTATGTTCTACTTGGAGACTAATTGTTGTCTGGATAAATTCTTCTAGGCTTTGCTTTCCTGTGAACCTGTACCTACTTAATTTTAGATTATCAATGCGATGGATATTAGTTCATCAATGTGTACTTTATGACACTACTATGCTGCCATAATTTACAGACCCATTTCATCTTTAACTTTTCCAAATTAGCTACTTTTTAACGTGACCAATACATCTCCAGTTCTAGCTCACGAATGTCTATTCTGATTTACTTTTTGTTTCACTATTCTTTTGTGGTTGGGCATCAAGTTTATATCTTTTTTTCCCTTTGCCTTTTGTTCCTTTTTTTTTTTAAATCTTTATGTGTTCTCTAGCAGCTGTTTTCTTATTTTATTAGTTGAAAAGCTTATCTACATATTGTTATTTGCCACCCAAGTACACGGTTAATCTAGTGATCCCACATAATTAGAGTTGCAGGAAGATGTAAAGTGATTAGGTCTTTGCAGCTTAAATTTTATCTGAAATTCAGTCTGAGTAGTTGCTTTGAAATTGACTTGTGGTGTTTCTGTTCACTTTTTTTTTTATTGTGAAGCATTTTCTATATAAAAAGTAGAGCACTTTCACAAAAATAAGCTCATGATGGATATTTAATCTACATTATTGGATACGTGATGAAGAAAGCGTTTCTCTTTTGTTTCCTTAATATGTTACACGTAGAGGTGGGTATGGTAAGTTAGTTCAAAAAGAGTTGGAAGCTCAAAGATCACTTGTTGATTATGGAACTGGATCATTGGGATCTTTCCCTCCAGTCATGCAACCTCACTGTAAGTTACTTGAAACTGTTTGATCTGTTTCTAGCTTTAAACTACTTATATAGTTCAAGAGATTTAGATTTTTTGCTGGATCGGTTGTCTTTGCTTATGTGATTCCATTAGGATTTTCGAGTAGGTTGATTGCAGGTGCACTGTGTACTGGCAACAGCAACCTTACCTTAGCAAAAGACCTAACCTGAAATGATGCAGTCAAGCATCCTACAGATGGAGAGTGGACCTAACCTGAGGGAAAATTTCTTAGCTTTATAAGCTGAAATGTCTTGTAGAAGCCATTTTAGGTCAAACACCTTTTCATTGTGTTGTGACCTGTAGGAATAGGGAAGGCACCCAGGTTCTGTCCGACCACTACTTATTAGAAATGGTCCGGGCATAGGCACTTTAATGATTCCAAAGTCACTCAATTATTGCCTATTCACTAGTGAACCCATGATCAAAAAGTCACTCAATTATTGAAATACATCTCATTTCTCTAGCATTTTGGTGTCATATTTGGAAAATTTGAATAGCCAGCAAATTCGAAGAAAAACTTATAGACATTGGATTCATATTGCAAAACATAACTTAGGTGGGATTTTTTTTTTTGTTGGGGGGGGGGGGGGGGGGGGGGGGGGGGGGGTGGGGTGGGTTGGGGGTTGGTGGAAAACTACTGATCTGTGTCTCACAGCCACAAATAGAACCTGGACCTTCATGCATTACATCAGGATTGCATGCAACTATCTGAAGAGACTACAAGCATTAGTAGCGAGCCTGTTGAGATACATAATATAACTGTTTGCTATGGTGGTGTAACGTAGAGTTTAGTTACTCTCTTAACGCTTTTGAGTTTTAAATCGTTCAGATGGTAGACATGGTGGAGGTCCGAATCATGGGGGTACTCATCGGCCTGGTAGAGGTATCTATTAATAAAAATATTCCTATGATTTGTGTACTAGATTTGTACAATCGTTTCGGCCGTTTTTGTTAACGCTTCTTTTGAACAACTGATTTAATTTGAAACTTGTTTGCCAAAGCAGATTATCCTCGGAAGCGGCACCGCGATGATGACCGCCACTCATATGACAACTCGAAGAGAAACTCGGATTCTGAATCGCGGAAGAACACTGATCACGAATCTAGACCAGTAATTTCTACGACTCACGTCCCAATTCGTTTTGAATCCTCTTAATTTATATGGTATTTGGAATTGCCAACCTGTTTGCGATGCAATGTAGTATCGTCTCTATGACTGAGAGTGCCATTTCACATGTTCATTGATGTTCCTGTTTCATCTTTTTCATTGGAATGGCAACATGGGGCAATTGTACATTCATTATTGAAACAAAAAAGTATAAAGAAGGAAAGACGGGCGTTTTAATTTTTTATTTGCTGCAACAGGAGAAAAACCCACGGTTTCGTGAGAGTGGTGACTCTGATGACGATGAAGATGAGCAAAAGCGGCGAGCTTAATCAGATTCCACAGCAGGGGATTGATCAGTGGACCGATACTTTAGTGCAGATAGAATTCAAGGGCGTCCAAATCCGAATGTTGACTGAATTGTGACCCGGACAACCTGAAGACATGGTTTTCTTTTGTTGATTTCATTTCTTGAAGGCTTAGTTTTCCGCACTTAGTCCTGCACAGGAGAGTAATCAACTTCATATGTTAATTAGTAATTGCATGGATTCGATTCGGCTCCAGATAAGGAGACAGAATGTGCCTTCTACTAAAAGATACCCTACTTTTCAATATCTAGCCTCAAATGATTATAATTTCATGATCATCTCACTTGAGCTGCACTGCAAGTTTTAGATATCTAGTCTCGATTCTCAAATGATTGTAACTTCCGAGTGTGTTCACCAAGGTCATCGTTGCCGTCGTTTCGTTAAAAGTATATGGAGGGGAATTTTCATTACTGTCTTCATCAGATCGAGAATTTGGGAGCGGCAAGTAGCAACAGGAGCACCCTCATCAAAATCCTTGACCAGACGTATAAGGCCTGTGAGAAACAAGTAATGTATTTTCCAAGGGGAGATCGATGTATTGTTTACTTATTTAATGCGTTCTGGGAAGAGAAACAAATGTTTTAAGGTCTGAACGAGGAGGAGAGCAGAGCAAATCAATGGTAGAACTGTAATTGATCGGTCGCCGAAGGGTATATGAGTAATTAAAACTCAAAGTAATAAAGAACCATGTTACAAAATCAACGGTCACTGAATGCTTCCATGAAAAATAGAGCATTCGTCAAAGATTACATACTCTCCAGACAGTTTGTTGGGTGGACTGGACTGAATTAATTAGTTATCTTCCCTGTAGTCTGGATTCTCTTTCAGGATCACGAACCCTTCCAAGATTGGGGACAGGGGGATGTACCTGTAAAAAACCAGTTGTTAGTGTGTTAGAGCGGTGCAACAGCAAGTCAGCGAAGCGTAAACACCACGGAGAAAAATCATACTTTTCAGTAGCCAGCTCCGCTCTATCACCCGCAGCGAGAAGAACTGGTGTCGAGTGGGTCTGGAAACCAGTGATCGTTTTGGGACGACCAGCCTGGCCAACCACATCAACAGCTTGTCCCACTCGAACAGGGACGGACAGTGGTTTGAGATTCTCATCCACGGTCAACAGCATTCTCGGCTAGCACAAGAAAAGTAATTACCAATATGACGTGAGAAAGACCAGATTTAATAACCGGAGAAAGCTGCATATAAAGAAGAAAGTGATCAAACACCAACCTGCATTGCCAAAACAATAAAGTAGAGAATGTAATGATATTTCCCCAGAATGATGGCTTTCATATCAAGACATGCATGCAGCAAGGTAATAATTCCAGCAAGTGCCGTCCTGTAAGTAGAAAGATAGTTTATAGATGTTAGACTAAGCCACCAAGCACCATTCTGTCAGAAGTAGAAATGACGAGTGTATTTGCAGCCACAAGGTTACTCACGGTGATAGCAAGAAGCGATCAGAATGGTATGGATTTAGAGTTAACAAACCCTTTCCCAAATGTACAAGACCTTGAGCAATTCGCACCTGCAGACAGTGGCCGAAGATATTATATAACTGCAGACTGGAAAACTCAAGAGGAAAACAAAAGAACAAAAAGATAGGACTCAAGATGTATTACACAGAAAAGAAGGCTCGCATCTTTGTAGTAATAACTTGAAAGATTGCGAAGCATGCCAGCTATTCTAGCGTTGTTGGTTCCCGCGCCTAGCAAACCTAATGAAATCACTGCAGCCTGAAGAATCCAAATGGAATATTAGACTCGCTATGAAATACGTGCCAACAATGGAGATATTGAATGCCGTAATATGTTACCATTGCTACTTCTGAATCTGTATCGTGGCTAAGCCTGCTCAATGTGTCCATAACATTGACCTGAAGGAAACACCCAAATAGAACAGTGAAAAAGGCAACTATAACCCAAGTAACTTAACTTCCCAATTTAGAATCACTAGTAAAGATAAGTATTTCAAAAATCACTGTTCCATGTCTATTCCAACTCTCGATACATGAATGGTTAGATTTCAAGGGCAGTTGAGGAAGCATTGGAAGTAAAAGTTTTACTTTTAAAGGCGTTTAACTATCACAATGGATGTAACCAGATTATTACCTTTGGATTTGATATGCACAGGAGACCAAGTGCCAACGGAACTGCCCGACGGATATTTTGTTCTCCGTATTGTAAAAGATGCTCTAACGAACGAATCGCCATTTCAACTCCCAATTCTTCAGCCATTGATATCATAGCAATTCCAAGAACAGCGGGTCCCTGGTGAGTTTCATTTTTCTCAAGATGTTGTGAACAATGACCGAGAAGGTTTTGGACCTGCATGAGAAAGGAGTTCCCAACTTCATACATGTGGCAGAATCAAATGAGATTTTAGTAGCCTTAAAATATTACCTTAAGAACATTGCCTGTTCCTGCATAAGCACAAGAAAGCAAAGTCATATCACAATGCTTTCTTATTTTTTCATTAAATGTCTTTGAAACTTCGGCAGTGGCCTCCACGCTTTCCTGTGAGAAAGTAAATTCCAAAAACCATTAGAATCATGAACTATTGCGTTCAACATTGTAATGTCTTTGGGCACAATGACTTTAACAAAACAAGCTTAAACTACACAACAAACATCAAACGAAACTAAAATCAAGTAGGAAAGAAAAGAACATGATTTTACAAAATGCAGAAAGAATAAACAATGAATTCCAGGAAGTTCAGCATGATTTTACCTGCTTCCCAAGGTACAGAAGTCCAAGGCTGAGGGGAATCAACCGAGCAAGGGGCTCCCCCAACTCCGAGTCACTTCGGTCCATTAGTGCAAATATGATTGCCTGCGCAACCTCTTCATTGCAGGAACCAACGTATACCAACCCCAATGAGATTGCAGTAAATGTGACCACGTCAAGGGGGGCTTTTGCATCATTAAGTATAGGAGTCAGCTTACTACGTATCTGAAAAAAGAAGGATAAGTTAGCTTTAAGTGGAAATTAACATTCAACAACAGATCAATCCACACTCTAACCAAACTAACAAACTCCTCCTGCATGCATTGCCCACTGCCCCCTCCAACAAAAAAAAAAAAACCTTTAATGATCAGATCAACACATGTTACAAATCCAAGGACAGTAGTGATTAAAGAAGGTTTGACAGACTCCTCTCATTTGATTCTTGAACCAAGAATGATACATAGAGTTGGTCCATTTCAATGGAAAATTTTCCGTGGCCTGCCAGATGTATCAACAGGAAAGGCTAAGACACTTTACCTGCTCATTCTGAGCACCAGCGTATGCAATCCCAAGGCCCATTATAGCACCAATCCGGATAAATGGATCCTCTTTATCAATGTACTCACCAAGAAGTGCCAGCGCCTGTAGAAGGAATTAAGATTCAGAGATACATTTCTAAGGTTGTATTCCATAGATGAAAAGATTGAGGTACCCACAGGATCACAATCATTCTTGATACTGCAATTGACAATCCCAACCCCTAACAATGCACCAGCAATAACATGGGTATCCTTGCTGTGGAAGTACTTGTCAATTTGAGCAAGTCCAGAGTCAACATCCCACAATAAAATCATACCCTGTCAAGAAGAATAACAAGGAAGAATGTAAAATGCAGTTTAAAATAAGATGATGAAATGAGCAAGGCAATAAAGTCATGCATACCAAACTTGCTGCAGCACTGGTCTTCCCATGCTCTTTATTCTTGAAAAGCCAGTTTCCTGAAGAGCCTCCACTTGAGGCATCTGATGGGACTGTCATCAACTTATCCTGCACCAAAACGAAGTATCAAAGAACGTATGTCAATCAGCTCCGCAAATCGACGACTTTTTAGCAGATATATCAAGTGTGAAAATTTTTACCTGACCAAATCCGGCATTTACAAAAGCGTTAACAAATGTTGCAGCCAAGTTCTGTCTTGCTGAATCAACACTAGCACCAGCACTTGCCCGGCCATCAAGTAAGTGTGCCTAATTAAAAGTTCCAAGACAGTATAATTATCAGAGAAGGGATAAGAAGGATAACAAAGAAGCAACTTTAATAAATTACACAACCGCAATGAATAAAACACAGTTATATTGCATTTATTTTCACTAAACATGCCACAGAAACACAGATTTATTCCCACAAATATTTTAGATATGCATATCATTCTAGATCAAGCATTACAAATAATCAAAAGTTCAAACCTTGTAAATGTCCTCTGGAGTTTTAGTCTCCATGACCTCAATGTCACGAGCAAGAGTAAGATAACCTTCACTTAGCTTAGTATTGTTGATAATATCCTGCAATGCTTCTCTGTCATCATCCTCCGCAACCATCTCATCATCAAGCTCAAAACTAATACCCTGCATGAATTATAAATGTGATTAAAATTAGTATGATTAAGAAAACACGCATAAAAAATATACCATACAACATTACTGTCCAATGATACCTTTTCAGGAAAAGTGCACAAAATACTTCCAAGGCTAATATGAATATCATGCCCCCACTTATCTTATGATAACAAGCCAAAGAGAGAGAAACAATAAGGAACAAGAGGACACACTGCCCCACCCAGAACAAACCCATCACAGTTCGCTCTTATTGTCAAGGAATCAAGCTAAATTTAGCCATGAATGTATCATCAGAAGGGTATATAACTCTATTTCAGAACATTACTTAGAATGTTTTAACAAGGAACAAAAAGCATGCATTCCTTCATATAAAGAAGAAAGTAATGCTACACTTACCACATTTTTCATACCACATTTGTACGACATCTCTAATAGAGGTAGGGCCCACCAATACAAGTGGGTCCTACCTCTATTAGAGAGGTAGTACAAAATGTGGTACGAAAAATGTGGTGAGAGTAGTATTTTAGTAGAGAAGGAAATGAAAACTAAGGAAAATTCAACACTTACATGTCGAGCAAGGATGTAACAAAATTGCTTTTTACGAAGCAGATCATCACATGATGTAAAGATGTTCTTTATATTCTGCATGCATACACTCATGATTGTTAATACCAAATAATTAGAAATATGAAAAGACCAGAGACAGGTAATTACATGTGCGAACATATACATACTGCAAAGTTCTCATTTCACAAAAAAATAATCTTCTCTGAAACCCTTAAGAATTTGAAATGTTGCATGCTCAACTATAATTTATAAATACATGGCTCAAAAAATATCAAAACTGTTGCATAGCACAAACCTGCATGTTATCAAGGTACAGTGCAATCTGAAGAGCATTTGGATATTCTTTAAATTTCATATATATCGTATATGCAATATCCAAAACTAGTACATCATCTGGTCCAGGAAGGTATCTGCAATACGTTAAGATAAGAAGAAAAAAGTCAGCACTACAGTCAAGGAGAATGAAAGAACAAATAATACAATGGCACCTGGCAGCCACTAAACATATGTCATACAAAGATTTTTTTTTTTTTTTTTTTTTTGTGTTTTGTCAATGTCATACAAAGATATGAAATGAAGAGTCTCACGAGTCTATAAAAGCAACTGATGCACGATATTCTCTGACTATAAGGACAAAAAAAAAGGCATATTATTTTTATTCCCAAATGTCCCAACTGAAACTTTTAAATCTCAACGTTTTATGGTAGTGCACTAGAAAAGGAATTATTGGCAATTAATAATAGGAAACAATAGAGAAAAAGCAATGGGATCAAATTTCGAAAGTTGACAGATTAGTTCCAGGGCATAGAGACCCAAGCTAGACTCTAAATTTCAGTTAACAACTTAAATCAGACTTCTGAATAGTCATGAGAAACTATGCCACTTTTGGCCCCATAAGAGTGTCACATGCAAAGAGAAATTTCTTAACTTCATCCGCTTACCTTGCTGAACTGGTGAGGTAGAGACAAGTTCTCTTAAAATTTGTTTTATCAACATGCTCAATTAACAGATCAAGGTCTTCAACCTAGTCATTGGTCAAATTATCAGGCCCAAGAAGACAGGGAAAGTACAAATGGCTTCACAGGCAAAGAATATTGAATAATTAATTAATAGATTTTACCTCCATTAAAAGGTCAACAGCTTCGGGTTCAGCATTGTGCTGCAATGCAGAACAAATAATTAGAAACAAAACCAACACAGTTTTCCTATTTAACATCGTCTACTGCTTACAGATTTGGATTTTCTGTCCATCTTCCAGATGGAAATTTCCCATTCAATTAAATTAAATGGCTTGAAGTGCATCAACATGAGGAGTTCGGCTTTTGAAACTTTGTGGACAATGTCTTATTATCCACTTTAAGCTGAATGATGAAATATTGCTGAATTTAAGTAATTCTTAGAACATATTTATAATATATTTCCATGCTTTTGTTTGCAATGAGACAGATAATATCTTAATACAAGCTAAAACTCTACTAAATACACAGACGAAGAGGAGCCTGATTTGGCTTTACATCATCTACCCATCTTCAGGGGGCATTTTCAAACTATCAAGGATTTATGTGTAACTTGATTGTCTACCCTAGCAAGAAGGAAAAAAATTCAAAGCGCAAACATGTTACGAATATTACCTTCATGTGAAAAGCAACAATTTGCTGCACTAGTTCCATTAATTCTTCAATTGGGGCCTCTTCACTCTGTAACGAGAATAACAAAGTAAAATTTAGAATAAATTTTTATAATGAGACCATAAACAATGACATGAAGCATTAAAGGTCTTGTCTCACTTATTTATTGACACATCTCCAGAAACAAATTTAATGATACCAAGAATAGATAAGTAAAAGAAGAATTGGCTAAGGAACAAATAACCATGCAATTTGTGTGTTTTAGCTATATTAAGCACTGCAACCATGTATTCCTAGTTACAGTAACTTTTAAATAAAAATGTTATTACATCATATATACAGGATAGACATAAAACCTGTCGCTTAGCAAATTCCTGAGCAATTTCTCCAGCTAAGTTCCTGATTACAAACAAGAAAGTCAACCAGTAGTGAACAAAAAATTTATCTTATGCCACTTCTGAACACAAATTCAGACACTAATCCCAAGGAATCTTTAAAACCCCAAAAAAAACCTAAACATATTGGGAATTATGATACTATAATACCACAAAACTTCCCTAGAGGAAAGTTCTAAACTAGATTAGTCTGACCTGACATATTCATGGCCCCATGAACCAATATCACCATCTGAACCCAACAACCTGTACTTCAAGCTTTCCTGAAAGTGGTGGACATATAGACAAGATGAACACATTTATTCTGAATATCACAAGGAAGGTGAACCAGAACTAAAATGAACAAGTATAATAGTATTAATAAATACAACCAACCAATAAGGAGAATAATTGAACAGAAATCCTAAAATAAGTATACTGGCATACCCGTTCTCCCTCAGCTGACATGGTCAGTGCCAAAACAGACAATATATCTGCTAGGTAATTCTGCAAGTACAAGAAGGTAGATTAATTACACTACAGCGAACAACATTAAAGTCGGCAGGGTACAAAAGATGAACTACACCTATTCTATGAGAAACTAATAATTATACCTTCAACTCTGATTCTGCCATTGTTTCATAGTAAGCTTTTAGAGTTCCATAATGTGGACGAAGATACTTTAATGGCTTTGGAACTGAAGTCATGGAGCTAGTTGAGGTACGGATTTCCTGCCTATGAGATGAAATTTTATGTGATGTCAGGTCACACCCTATGGGATAAAACTATATAAGAAAAAATTAATACTTCCACTCCAGGTATGGAGCGTAGTAACTGCTATGTAAAAGTAAAAAATGAATATAACACATCAATCACTTTCTACACTGACCAAAGATTGCAAAATGCTTTCAGGTGTAAATTGCATTTATAACATAATAATCATACACACACATCATAGCCATAACAGCATTGGTCAGAGTTAGAAAACCTCTGCTTTCCATAATTTTATGTTTTCTAGAAACTCTAGGTTCAGCAACAATGAAGTATAGATAAAACAATTTCCCACTGAAGACCCTTTTGGATCTTTATAGTGCCATATTCACTGCTGAGTGCTGACTACCAATGTCTCTTTACAGATTCACTAGGAGGAAAAATAGAATACCCAAAAGTCAACCCCTCTTTACCTTTGTTTCTTTGCCACAACAACAAATAATCATAAATATAAAGGGCTCAAAGATAGTGTTTTTTTTCGTTCAACAGCCCTGTAGCTATAACTTAAAAGATAGCGGATAAAGCATCAAGGAATTCAGTTCACAGTAAAAGTGTATATTTCACAGTAAAAGTGTATATTATTTTATACTTGGCTCCCTTTGAGAATATCAAGTAATTTTTTCCCTTCGAATTTCATAAATATTCTTCCACGCTATTTCCACACATTTTTTCTATTCCCTCAAAAACAGCTCAATAAAAATTGGGACTTGTGAGAAAGTATAGAATATAATTCACAAAGACAGTGGTTATCGGAGGGGAAAATGGGTGGCATAGAATGCGATTACCCATAGTGCCATAGACAGTGAAGGGTTCCTTATAAGCTAATTACATTACAAACCACTGTGCTTGATGGTCTAATACTAACTTTTAAGAGGACAAAAAGGGTCTACCTCATACTCTCTAGAGCATTCTTCTGCACACCAGGATCAGTATCCTGAACCCTCTCGACATACAACTCTAATTGGTTCTTCAACTCCAAATCCTCCTCAGACTGCACGGAAATCCAATGCAGCTCAATTAAAGAAGCAAATTTTCATTGAATACTAAATAGTAAACACCCTTGTTAATCAATTTAACAGTCGAACACATGGGAACTCTTGGACTAATCAAGAAACAAATAAATTAAAAACGACTTGGATTAAGTAAAAAAAATACTCGAATTTTATATTCCAATACAGGCTTTGATACAAATAGACATGAACGAACCCTAAATATCAATGCTAGTAGAGAATTTCTAGTGCGGGAACTTCAGCTTAATAAATTTTCTGGAGAACCAAACAGGTAGTGAACGGAACCCTAACCCCTGGATTTGCTTACCAAATCCTCATCCTTCTTATCGTCCTTCTTCTTGGGATCCGTTGCGGGGACTTTAACGGTATCCTCATTGCGCTTGCCGGAGCCGCTTCCGCTTGGGGCGTTTGGATCTTGAGGTGCCATGATCGAAGTTCGTCGTCTCCTCCTTCTGCTTTCCTCTTGAACAAGAAAACCTCAGTCACACCTCTTTTCCTTTCTTTATCACTCCCTGCTGGTGGTTCATAGAAATGAAAAATAGCCTGTACTGTATTTGTTTTATTGGGCTGATGTATTGGGCCTTATATTTTAAGTTTTAACACATTTTTTTAGGAACAGTCCGATTAATGAACTTACATGGACACGGAACAGGTGATCAATGCAGACTGGTCGACCCTTGAATTTGAGAAGATAAAAGAGCGCGAATATCTTCTAGTTAAAAACTTGGTATACGTCAAGACTTAGTATTGAATTTGAGAAGATAAATGAGCGTGAATATCTTCTAGTTAAAAACTTGGTATACCTCAGGAGTTAGTATTATGGTTTAATAGTATTTCTTTTCACTTGTAAGTAACAAATCTTAGGTTAATATTTCTCTTCACTTGTAAGTAACATATCTTAGGTTCAATTCTCACCAAAGGTGAATTTGAATCACATTATTGTTAACTAATTGTGAGGCTTAGAGCACTCTTCCATCCATTTAGTGTAAATAATATCGTTTGTTTCTGTCAATATTCGAAAACAATTAGAAGCAAGAAGACATACTCGGCTTCAGTGTTCGTTAGAAACATGAACGGAGGAACCACCATGGTTGGGTAAGTTCCATAATTTTTTGGAATAGCATGGATATGCACCATATTACGAAGTTGGTGAAACGAATATAACCATGTCAATTTTCATCTTATATGTTTTTGAAATTTAGCTTTTGGTCATTGTTTGCTTTTAAACTATCTTATTCTTAAGATAATATTATGTGAAACAACTTGTCTGATGATGAAACTGCCTTAGTTGCATTCCTACCTAAAGGGAAAGCCAACTACAGCAACGGTGGAATCGTTAACGTGTAAGGCAAAATTTAATGAGTTCAATGCAAAGACAAGATCATTTAGCGCGACGAAGATCAAATTATTATGTTTAACAAATTCAACTCTCAAACATAGTATCATCAGTGAAGGAGATTCCAATCACGTTCAATGGCTTAACATAGTGTCATTCAGTGAAGGCAGTAGCAATCATGTTGAACGCTTTAACATAGTACTATTTGGAAAAGGCAATAACAATCAAGTTCCAAGAACAATGTGCTTAAGTTGTATAGAAAAATTGCCCGATTGAATATGACACACTTGACACAGGGTGGACTTGGTCAAGGTTTCAATAACAACGGTAATCTCCCAATTTAGCATAGTTCAAATTTTAACAATATCATCAATTATAGAAGACCACTTATTATCTTTCTATCATTCCTTTATATCATTAAAGAAGATGGTTTTCATCTCATCAATGAAAATGAAAATTTTAATAGTCAACGCAACTTTGCTAATCCGGATTGTCGTACAATAGTCGACAGGGAAAAGCTATTTAACTGACGGAAGTTTCTCGTCGTTGAAAAAAGGTATTTCCGACGGCGTTTACATGACTATTTTTTTACTGACAAACTTCCGTCGGCTTATATAGTTTGTGACAATTGTTAGTTTTAGAGGACAATTCTTGTTCATCTCGTAAGTTTTTTTTTTTTTTCCAGTAGTGCCCTCACTTGTCTCCACGTCCAAATTTATTCGTAGTGAGTGACTGAGGGAGGGCCTGATAACCAAAACCATATGTAGGTGATTGCAAAATTAAATGTTAAAATCACTAGAAAACAAATAAAGTGAAAAAAAATTGATAAACTTTTTTTTACCGAAAATAGAAGAAAGATTTATCTTCTTCTCATAATTTCTAGTGCTCGACGTGGATTTATGGGTTCATGACAGTTTTCTTTTCGTTACTTCCAGTTTTTTTTTTTTTTTCTTTTTCTTTTTTTTTTTTCCTGTTTTATCTCTTTTATTTGTTAAGCTTTCCTAATCACGAATCCCTCACAAATTCTCTCACAAAAGAAACACAAATAATTTACGTTGGCAATCCACGAATCAGCAATTTAGCCAATCAGAGACAAATCACGAGGATTAAGATATTTCTGAAATTAAAATCCCCCTCCAAACCGTAGTTATTGCCGAAGACTTGTAGCCCACGTTTTCAACCGCCTCTACCACTATAAATAACCGTTTTCTCATTCCCTCCTTCTATCTCATTCGCGACTTGACGAAGTGTGAATATCAAAACCCTAATTTCTCCCCTCTCGAAAGGTTCGAGTTTGTTATCTTCCAATTTGTTTGAGTTCGTTATCTTTGTGTTTCTTTCTGATCGGTTCTTCGTCACTCTGATTTTCAAATTCTTTTGCGTCTTTTATAGTGAAGAAATGGCTCGTACGAAGCAAACTGCTCGCAAATCGACCGGCGGTAAGGCTCCGAGGAAGTCACTTGCCTTCAAGGTGCGTCGTTAGGGTTTCTAATGTCTAGAAAATTAGAATTGATAATTGCAAGCGATTTTTCCCGGTTTATTTGATCTAAGTTGCTAATTGTTTTAATTTTGTATAGGCTGCAAGGAAATCAACACCCACAACCGGAGGAGTCAAGAAGCCTCACCGCTACCGCCCTGGAACCGTCGCTCTTCGGTGTGTTTTCAAATCAATTCAGTTCAATCTTCTGAATCCAATTCTTGAATTTTATTATATGTATCGTATGTGTTCTTTGAATTTCGTTATCTGCACCGTGTTCCTGAATTTTGGTACGCGAATGTTCTTGAATTTTGTTACCTGAATCGTGTTCTAATTCAATTTTATATTAACTTACAGCGAAATTCGAAAGTACCAGAAGAGCACTGAGCTTCTTATCCGCAAGCTGCCGTTCCAACGCCTTGTTCGCGAACTCGCACAGGACTACAAGACGGACCTCAGGTTCCAGAGCCATGCTATTCTTGCTCTCCAGGAAGCTGCGGAGGCTTATTTGGTTGGACTGTTTGAGGACACCAACCTTTGCGCCATTCATGCCAAAAGAGTTACCATAATGCCAAAGGACGTTCAGCTCGCTAGGAGGATCCGTGGTGAACGTGCTTAAACGCGCATGTTTGTTTTATAATTAATTTCTTAGTTTAGGAATTTAGGCATTGCCATACAATTGGAGTTACTTTGTTTTGGTCAAATTGCCATACGTTTAGATTCAAGTACCGATATTTCGGGCATGGATTTTGGAATATTGCAGTAGTTGCTTATATTTTGGTTGGAAATTTATTATGTTGATACATCATACATCTGTGCTTTTCTTCCTTTCCTGCTTTTAAATTGTTATTTATTTCTTCGTTTGTTTTTTTTTTCCTACTTTGATTGCTCATTGGAGATTGGATTGGTTGAATGTATCCGTTTATTGTCAATGGTGTTCTGCATTGTACCTGGAATCATACAGTGATTGCTGAGTGCTCAGTTCAACATTTTCTAAATTAGTGCCTGCGCAAGACGAGATGAAAAGAAGAATAGAACAGCACACTCTTTTTTTTACCAGAAATAGCATGCATATTGTCATTTCATCGAGTCTTGGTAGGTCTGAAATCATTTGGAAAGGCATACTGCACACCTTCAAAAAGGCAACACCCAAGTCATCCATAGAGATTCACTCGAGTTTGGAGGGTCAGCTGACCCCCCTTGCCCTTAAGTCGGTCCACCCCTGGGTGGGTGGCAAGAAATTTTGCGGGTCTATTTCAATGTGCGGGTGGTTGTGACCAATTTCATTGCGAATTGAGTATCATGGCCTAGGCGGAAGCCGGTGAGGGCGGGTGGCTTGTGTGGAGAAGGGATTTATCAAGGTTGATATAGAATCTGATTCTCAGAGCCTTGTGGGAGTGGTTACCTAGAGGTGAAGTTTAGCCGGAGGCTACGATTGAAATTTTTCCATACAACATACACTGTTTGAAGCAACACTTGAGGTCAGTAGAGTTCTTGTTTGTTTAAATTATTTTAAAAATAGGGGTAAAAAAAAGCTAGAGTAAAATATGTGTTTGGTAGTTCAATGATGTGGCATCCGATGTATACGTCTCTAATCCAATTCAATAAAATCTTCTATCGTTGGACAAAAGAACAAGATGAGATCATTTGCCTAGCTAGCTAACCCAATGACTCTTTAACTAATATGAATTCAGACTAAACCTTCTAGATATAACAAAATGAAAATAATGTGACATTAACATGGCACTGGCACCCATATAATTTATAACAGTTGAGCTGATGTTTTTAAAAGGGAAAACAGTATTTCTATTTACACCAACAAATCATCTTTGGACACTCATCCATATAAATATATTCGAAAGTATGAAGCATTGGCGAATTAGAAACTTGTTAGGAGTGAAAGGGTTTAATTTTTATAGCGAAAACATATACAAAAGACAAATAGAATTCCAAAACAAACCATAAAATCTCTTATATATTGATTAAGTTTTCAACGCACACCTAAAAACATGAATATCATTTAGGGCACATATCCTTGGGTCTTCTGGTACTTATCATACTCCTCCATGGTGTTGAACTCATTGGAGCTGTGACTGTTGCTGTAGTAGCGCTCAACATCATTTCTGTTACTTCCTCTCCCATCTGATTCGTAGTTACCATTGAAATTATTATTTTTAATCTCATTCTTCACATCATGATAGTATTTACCATTTTCCAGAAACCTTGTATCACTCATCCCTTGCTGTTCACTAATCTCATTGCCTCCACCCAGGGGATTGCGGTTGTAGCCTCCTCTGCTATCGTAGTTTTTGACGTAGTAACTGTTGCCGGTGTAGCCAATGTCCTGATTACTAATCCCTTGCTGTTCACTAATCCCATTGCCTCCACTCGGGGGACTGCGGTTGTAGCCTCCTCTGCCATCGTAGTTTTTGACATAGTAGCTGTTGCCGGTGTAGCCAGTGTCCTGATTAATGTTGTCCTTGTTGTACAAGTTGGTGCTTTCGTAATTACCTTTCGGATGATCAAAACTTTCACCGCTAAGTTCTTCACTCAAGATTTGATCTTCAACATCAGTAATTGTGGTTGGAGTCTCCTTCGTGGAAGGGGAATTGGTCGAGCCAAGACCATACAGGGCGCTGTTGCTGCCATGGTCTCTTTCGGTGTAACTTGGTGTCGGTACCGGTGTTGGTACTAGTTCCGGTGCCTCTGCTACTACTTGTAGTGCTGGCGCTGGTGCTTCGGCCTCCGCCTCCATAACATAATTATCGTTGTTGTTGTTGTTGTTGTCGTTGTGGGTGACCTTGCTGAAGGACACGCTCTGTCTAGCATGAATGATGTGTATAAAGGAAGAGCAAACTAGCACCAGAAGGAAGAAAAATGGAAGTGGTTTTGCAAAGGAAGCCATTGCTTTTAGGGTTTAGGACTTGGTGGTGTAATGTCTTGTATTTTTGAAGCTTATTTATAGAGCGGATTTTGCTGTGCTTGTGTCGTCTAACTAATTGGCCGAGCAATTATGCGTAGATTGAGGAAGGGGATCCATGTGGGGTTTGAAAATAAAGGGATATGGGGCACGCTGCATGTGCAATCCATGACGCATGACTCTCAGTCAAAAGCCTATGGAAACATATTTTCCCTTTTCCTTTAGTTATGCAACCTAAGGGTCCTACATTGATATAATTTCAAGGGGTAATACTAGAAAGACTAAATTTGTAAACAAAATTAACAAATTAAATGATGTGTCACCAACAAAAATTAGCACGTTTATTAACGCTTTAAGTAATAAACCAATCATCAACTTTTATTTCCTCTAATTTTAAAAAAAATTTCTACAAATTTAATTTCTCTAGCATTACCCAATTTGAAAACCTCAAAGTGCAATGTAAAAAAAATTAAAGCCTCTTAACCCATTTTAAAAATCACCTCAAATCTGAAGATTGCAAAATGTAATTAGTTGTTAGATCTTTTACATAATTTTTAAAACATGTTATACCACTAAATTAGTCTACTTTTAATAGTTGAGATGCAAGCCAAACACTATATACACATATGTGTATGAATCAATAATTAATAATAAATATACACCTTATTTAGCTTCTCACATACTTTAGTTTAGCCTTGTCCGTTGTTTCTGTTAAATTTGTTTGAATCTAATGACCAAATGCAAAAAAAAAAATTGTATGAGAAGCTAAACATGCTTTGCGAAATCACCTCCCCATTCCGACTAAAGATCAACTAGTTGAGTTAGTTCTTTTTATATTTTTTTTATTGGCAGTTGAGTTAGTTAGGCAAAGAAGAATTGAAAAGGAGAAAGGAAAAAGAAAAGGACGGTGAGATGAGAGGCCCCACTCCCCATTCCCATTCTGGCTTTCCTTTGATATTGCTTGATGATGTGTTTTTTTTTTTTAAATTATGTTTGTGCTTCATGCCAAAAGAAAATCACTTAGTTTCATTTCTAAGTGAAAGATTTATTAGGTTTGAGTTTCGTAACTGGCAACTTTGACACCAATTTATTCAATCTCATGGGCCTTAGTGTAAATATTTTATTGTCACTCAATTTCTAGAAGAGAAAAACCTAATAAAACAGTATTTACAGAAGTACTGGATAAAAGCCGAGGCATGATCAAAAGGCATGGAATCTGACCCCAATAGTCATTGATTTGTTTCTAAGCAATCTTATAGTTGAATGTATTGTTGTTTGTGGCGCAATCACTGGACTAAGAATGCCTGCGTGCCTCGACATGTCAAAACATTGCGAGTGCTTTTCTTTTCAAAGGTCATATTTTTTTTTTTCTTTTGATTGCGACTCAGCTCCAGAAATGGTGGGGGGAATCAGCCACTCAAGTGGGCTGTTACGAATGATGCTTTGGAAGGCCTAAATCACCACCCATCAGATCTAAAGCACTAAGAATGATCGCATAAACTTTAGACTGAAATATGTTTGTGTAAAATTAGCAATTTCTAACAAAACGCTTGAGTCTATAATTTCTTATACTAGTGCATGTTTTTGGTTTAATTATTTAAGTTTAAGTTTATCACTCGTGCTCTTGATCATAAAAATGTCAAGCATTTTAGATACACTCAAGTAAGTTCGTCATGCATATGCATTTTTTGTTATTAGGTTTATTTTGGTTCAAATACATTTAGGGTGCGTTTGTTGCACCGGACTGTCTCGGACTGGACTAGCTGCAGAGATTAAGTTGGACTGGCTTAGACTAGACTAAGCTGGATTAGCTTAGTGAAGTGTTTGGTGCAGTGTAGGAGTAAGAAGCAGGATAATGAAAACAATACTGTTCACCAATTTGGTGTTTGCCCAGACTAGGACTACATTATTGTTCTATTTTAATTGCTTTTTTATTAAAGATATTATTAAAATTAATAATATTGGATGAGAGTGAGACTCAATAAAAATACAAAAACCAAATTTTCTTGCCAACAAAAGAAACATACATGATTCAAGAGTAGCATTGTTCCAAACATCAATATAACAAAGTGTTCTCCCAACAATCGACATGGTTCAGGATGTTTTTCTTAATTATTCATCTTTGGTTTAAAGTTGTAGATTAAAGTAAAGGTTTGTTTGCTTTTTTTGGTTGTGTTTTTGCAGCTTTGTTTGCTTTGCCGTTTGCCTTATTACCTTTCATGTTGGTGTTTTTTTGAACCATGTTTAATTAAGTTGTACCGAAAAGAAAAAAATCATTAGTTCATCCCATACTGCAGCAAACATTAAAAAATACAGTGAACAATCTGTTGAATCCAAATCACAGAAATTCTAATGTATCATCTAATCAAATTGAATTCCTCTCCAATTGAGTCACCGCTGATATTAGAGCAAAGCATATGTAAAGCAAGAAAATGTATAAGTATGATTACTCAATAAATATCTGATTGACTTGACTCACTTCAATAGACATCAGATCAAGTTATGATGAAATAAACAGCAACATGAAATATCAACTATCAAGCCTTGAGTAGGGTAAAAGTGTCTTCGTCAGATGAAAAAGCTGTAACCTTGTTTGCACAAGGATCGACTTTGTTGTCATCTAGATCCTTTTCACTGTAAAAACCAGATTTTTCAGGTTCAGGCAATCCACACCACTGAAGATCAGAACTGCAGCTGGTATGCTTGGCCTATCTGCCGGATTTCGCTGCACACATAAAAAACCCACATGGATTGACTGCAAAACTTCATGTGGATTACTGGAGTCTCCTACTGATGTATCGAGCATTTCAATGGACTTGCCTTCTGTGTATAAATTCCATGCCTAAAAGATCACAACCACCAAGCGTACTGAATAAATAGAAGTACAAAGAATCTAGTAAAAATTTGACATACATGGTGAAAATAACTACATAATTACATCCAATGTGTATAAAAATATCAATCTTTCAATTGAGCATTATAATTTGACACCAAAATCAAAGGCATGAACTGCGTGAAGGGTCAAATTGAACACAATCTGAAAAAACTCAACTTAGATTCTGAAATTCACAGTCAAATCAACACAAATCCCCACCCAAGATTCTTCACCAACTGGCATTTCTTTCAAACTTCACAGTCAAATCAACACAAATCAACTTACTAATCAACGTGGGAATGACACCGGTAAGATTATTACTGTAAATGAAAAGCTCTTCAAGTGAAGCTAAATTCCCTATCTCCTCAGGCATTTCACCAAACACATAATTCTCACAGAGGTAAAGCTTTCTAAGGTTGGTCATTTTGCAGAAAATGGTCAACATTTCTCCATGAAACCTATTTGTGCACAAGTCTAGAATCTCGAGATAATGACAATTTGCCGAACCCTTACTTAACTGAATTTTAGGTAACTTCATTACTTGATTTATATAAGTTACCAAGTGCTAGAAACAAGCTTATTAAGCATTACAAATGCTTGAATTTTAGGTAACTTCATTACTTAACAAGTCCTTTTTGTGCTCAGTTTTGATTACTTACTTCTATAAGTTTTGATACTAAAAACCCAACAAGCTTGCAAGAGGAACTAAATGGAAACAAGGATTAGAGATCAAACAAGAATACTTGTATGCTCAGTTTGAATTAAGGATTATAGTTTTTTTTTTCTTTGGTCTTTTTAATCTGTTGAATCAAGAAGTAGAGGTTGAACAAAGATATTTTAAACATAATCAAACAATAAAGGCATTCAAATATGTAGCTACACAAGTCGGAAAAGAAACAAGTCGCTCATTCTATTTTCTATTTGTACAGGATATCTAACTAATTAACAAAAAAATTAGCCTTTGAGCAATCAATTTACTGCTTTTGAGGTTGCTCTTTTTGTATTCATTTTTGCCATGGAGCTCCAATCAATTTACAGCTTTTGAGGTTGCTCTATTTGTATTCATTTTTGTCATGGAGCTCCTTCTTTTATATATACAAACTCCAATGATCACAGTAGACGAATACTCAAACAAAGAAAGATAAAGATGCATCTCCCAAACGAAAATCTGAACCCATATCAAAACAGGATATAGAGGCAATGGTAAGATTATTGCTTGCAATTAAGCCCCAGAATTCATTGACTTCACATATATATTGCAATATGATTCATCAATCAAGAAGACAAACAACCCATGAACATGAGCCATTAGATGCAGGAAATTGAAGCAGGACCATTAGTTCCAACTTACAGTAGATAAACAAGATATTTTTCAGAGCATGATTCATTTTAGTTAAACCCACCTTCTTCGCTCACTACTGAAAGGACCAAAGAAGAAGTTCTTGGACACATTGAATTCAGTTAAGTAAGGAAGATTACAAATGCTCGGAGACAAAGTGCCAGACAAATTAAGTCCACTGAGATTTAGAGAAGTTACCTTGAAATCAGAACAACGAACTCCGGTCCAATTGCAAGGATTTGAATATGCTGAATTCCAGGACACACACACACACACACCCAAAATCAGCATACCCATATAGAATGAGACACCCACACACACAGAGTACGTACATACATACAGACACATACAATCATAGACTATATACATATCAATTATTAGATGAAATTCAACGATGGTAGAACAAATATTAGATGAAATTCATATATATATATATATATATATATATATATATATATATATATATATATATATCAAATCCACTCCAGTAAAAGCCGAACTTTAATATCAATTTGAACCTAAAAATCAAAACCCTAATTTATTTTCAACTGCTCAGATCAATTATTGAAAAGTTTTCAAACCAAAACAATGAAGTCGTTCATAACCCAATAATAATTTACCAGACAAAATCGAAGTCGTTCAACGAGGTCGTTCACGATCATCAAAAGAAAATTAAAGAAGAAAATCGTCAGATTCGAAATTTACCTGACGAGGAGCAAAGGACGGCGAGCAGAACGCAGAGGACGGGGAGCAGAACGCAGAGGACGGTGAGGATGACGAGTGCGAAGGAGTAGGACGTCTTCTCTCACAGACGAGCGACAAATTTCTCTTTCTCTGGGCTTAGTAGTACCGTGAAAATTGGGGGTCCTCGCGAAGAACTCTTAGCGAAGGACTTTGTCTGGGCGAGTCCGGGTTTATCCCATTAAACTCAGTCCCTCTACCTACCAAACATGGGATTACACTAAATACTTAATCCAGTCTAGTTCAGTCCCACTTAGCGAGGCCAAACAAACACCCCCTTAGTTTTGGCTACATGGTTTTGGGCTAGAATTGATCCTGATTTGGTTATTACCGTTATTTTGGTTTGGACTTAACTATAGGTTTGGACTTGATGAATCAGCCCAATCTCCTTGTTGCCCATTTATTTAGGATGTTAGTTAACACCTAAATTGATAAGTTTGCATGTTTATCAAGTTGATAATTCCAAGTGTTTTTCAGTTTAATCCTATCGTATGCATGATTATCCTTATATGCCTTTGATCTACACAAAATAAACCTTAGCACAGCCATATATATTGAAGTCTTACGTGAGGTTTTTGCCGAATGCAGCTGCGAGATGCACTGACTAGTCTAAGAGCAGAATTTATATAGCAGCACATATATACCATTGCACTCGGATCTTGCAATTGAAATACAAAACCTATCTATAGTTTGAACATTGTTAACAACCCAAAGGATTGGTTTGCTGAGTAGTACCATAATCTGAGTTGGTTTTTCGAGATATTCCCAGCTGCTGTAGTATCTTGGGTAAGGTACATGGGAAACTCAAATTCAAATGTGGTTTATCATATTGAAGAGTTTATATTGAGTCATAATTAGCCACTTGGGATACATCCCTAGGTTTTATTTATAAAGAAAAAGCTACTGATATGAATAAGTGTTGCAACTTATGAAGCAACCATATTCTAATGCAAGGAACGGACTCCACTGCCTGCTGCAAATTGCAGAGCTATTAACTTTCAATTTAAAATGTTTTAGATTTCATTCTATAAGCCATATTAATTTAATACTTAAGATTGAATTGGATTGGATAATGATAGGATTTTTAGGTACCTCAACAAAAGAGGTTAAAATCACACAAAATACTTGCAAGAGAACAAGGTTGTTGTAGTATAAAGAACTCAAGTAAGGTCGTTTTCCGCTGGGATTATTTAAAACAATTAATGCAAAACCAAAATCTTAGTTAATTATTTGAAACAAAGATTGGAAAATGTCGATTTTGAATTTAAAAGCAATAAAAACGAATTTAAATAAAAGTAATTTAGGGAAAGCAACTAATAACCAATTAAAAAGGAAATAAATCAAAGAGAAAAGGTTTTGAGAAATAAACTTGGAAAAGCACTAGGGTTCCACCATCCCTTAACAATTCTATGTAGATTTACTAATTACTTATGAATTACCCATGCAACTTTGAAGGTTAGGTTTTCCTTATGCATATTCTACTTGTGGCATTCAAGCTAGAACGTATATCAAACATGCAATCCGTCTGTAGCATTCAGATCAAATATAAACATGCATAACTCATTATACTTTGTGAAAAACCTTTGAAAAACCATGCAACCCCTAAGACGTGGCATTCGCCTTAGGTGAAATTACAACTATCAATCACAAGAAGCAATACTCAATTCCCTGGTGGCATTCCGACCAAATTGCATCCAATTACTTATCTAAACATTCTAATGATCGCGAATTATTAAGACACAAAGACAATTTAAAGTATTAATAATTCAAAGTATGCATGCGTAAGATCATAAGCAATTAAATAAAAACTACATATACATGATAAGGCTCAAGGCATTGCCCTAGCAAAATAAAATTAGTTACGCATATTCATAATTAAAAATCAAAAGAAGTATATTAAACTAGAAAAAGATTGAAAACACCTTGTAGAATAAAGTCTGAAAATCTCTAATCTTTAGTCAAATTCTTCTTCTCAAATTTTGCGTACGTTCCCCAAACCCTAGGGCTGGCCAAAAGGGCTTATTTATACTACTCTAATTAAAATCCTCCTAGTAAAGGGTCTTAGAATACGACTAGGAAACCTAATAAATTGAAATAAAATAGGAAACATAATCCTAAATTAACTTGGTAAATTCGCCCAAAATTCTGTATAACCACGTTTTGGACTCAAATCAGCTCCAAAACTAGCCCAAAATAGCTGGATTTAAAGCTTGGACTATTCTGAACACTTCTCCAGAGGCCACGAATCCATCTGAGATCATCTTGGGCTCCAAAAACACAGTTTAAGCCCAAAAACATCATTTTTTTAGTAATGCACACTGCTTCTTTAATAAATCACCAGAAAATAACCGCTTGGTAGAAAAATCCCAAATTTTGATATTAACAAGCCAAGAGACACACGAACACCCTCCAATTTGAATCACTCCAAAATTCGTCTGTTTGATCATGTTTTGCTCCAGAGGAAGTTGAATGTCCTACATTAAAAATATAAGGCAAAATATCAAAATTCTACCCAAATAATTACCAAATTATACTAAGAATAGGGTAAAATATAAAATATAATATTAACTCATCAGATAACTTAGTATATTCAAAGTAAGAAATTGAGATTAGCTTTCAAATTATACCCAGGTTGAAAAAATTATATGTATTGGTTACAAGGCGTTGATATTCTACCATTTTGTTCTTTCATCATATCTCGAATCTAGTGAGTCTATACTTTTATACACTAAAACGTGACCATATAATTGTGGACAGAAAGCAAACTAACAGTGCATGGTTGAGCATAAAAAGCTTGTAGTTTATTTACTTTGAACAACCACTACAAAAATCATCCGCTTTATTCCGACATATATATGCTAATATAAGAAGGTGTCTTGTACACATATTACGAAGAAAGTAGTTTGTACTCAATTAGCTTATGGAAGAAGGCAGAAAAATGACGGGCCGAAAAGAAAGAAAAAAAAAGAAAAAAACTCGCAGAGCAGGTCGATTTGTACAATATTATCTATGAAAGGACATGTCGTCAAATTTGAGGTTTTCAACCTCTGTGTCTTGAACAAACACCATCAAGCACAGGAGGGTGGTATTTTTGGAACTCCCTGTCGTTGTAGCTCCACCATGACGGTATCAGTAGTGGGAGGTCTTAGGCCAAGAGGAAGAGGCAGCCACGGTTTCGATAAAACATCTCCAATAGCTGCATCTATGCTCTCTTTTGACTGTTACATATACAATTGAAAGAGATTAAATTGTCATCCTTAATTAGTTCTAAACTAAAGTTACTGCTAATGAGATATCAACGATTTTGAATTTATATACACAAATAATAATAAGATATCGTTCTCTAGGCCATTTGGTGACCAGGAATATTCATGGTTACTCATCTTTTGATTTAATATCAAGTGTTGAGATTAAAACATTAACAATACATTTTTTTATTCTCTATCTTTGATATCAAATCTAAAAATATTAAAAGTGAACGATCACGAATTGTTGGTTAGTTGATTACGAGAACATTTCTGCAATAAAACTCCCATGAATTAAGTGACAGACTGACTCACCGGATGAAAGTCGAGAAGAGGGTGAGGGCCAGATTGTGGTGGAGTGGGGACAGCAATGCCTGCGTGGTCTACTTTGTACATGGCATGCGGTGGAATACCCGGAACAGGTGGGGCGGGAAATCTCTGTTGCATCAAATAAGATTCAAACAAAATTAATTAAGCCAAAATATTGTTCCCTGTACAAAATACAATACAATGACATGCATTCATAAAAGATGTCGGCTAACGTATCATGTAATCTATGGAACGTTTTTTATGTTCCAAAATGTTTAAGAATTGCATTGTATTTGTACCAATAAAAACTACAAACTCCAAAAGTGTAAGGAATGACTAGTTACCGTCGGAGCAGCCAGCTGTCTCGGAAAGCACGGTGTTCCTGGAGTTAGTCCGTCCGGAACCTACACCATCAAGTCGTAATTAAATGTATTTTAGTACTCAAATTTGGGAGTTTTAATGAAAAGGGTTGGGACTAAGTTTGTTTTAACCAAAAGGTAAAAACCATCTATAATTTTATTAAATGAAAATGGCTTGAACTTTAATGAAAATGACTTAAATTTTAATAAAAATGACAAAAGTTTAATATAATAAAAAATAAAATAGAAAAAAAGAAATAAAAAAAATGACGCACATACTATTTCTAAAACTGAATGGTATTACAATATTTTTTTAAACTGAACACTATTTCTGAAAACTGAACACTAATTATTTTTGAAACTTAACACGAGTACTACATTATTCTAAAATTGAACACGGCTACTACACTATTTCTGAAACTGAACACAGGTACTATTTTTGAAATTGAACACAGGTTAGCATGCACTAAATATTTTTTTAAACTGAATATGGTATCTCTACAGGAAGTCTAAGGACCAATCTTTTCTCTCCTCTTCTTGATTTTTCTCGACACTTTCTCACATTCCAAACAACTTTTTTTCTTCTAATTTTCTTATTCTCATCAAATTTTCTCTGAATCTCTTCAATTTCTTAACTTTCTACACCAATACTTAATTTTCTTCCGTTATCAATTTAGAAACCAAGAACTAAAAAATTGTATGAATTAAAAACAAAGAAATAAAATGAAAACTAAAAAGAAAAGGCATGCCTCATGCCCGCCCTTCCACAAAACTCGATCACCATCCCTTCCCAAAACGCTCACCGCCGCTGCCCCACCCCTACACCCACCCCCCATCATCCCAACCCAGACTTGACCCACTCCCTCCCAACCATACTTGCCCCAGATGTGATTCTGAATGGCATGAAACCCACCTCAATTTGAAATTTTCATTTTAAAGGAATAAAATATGCTTGGATTATGTCAAAGTGTTATGTAGCTGAAGGATTGGTTGGCGTGCTCCTTGCATGTGCCTTTATATATGTAGGTTTTTTTTTTTCCTTTTCTCTTGTCCTTATTGTTAAATAAAGTTATTAGATGATTTTTTGTTAATATTCAAAGTTTTGAAGCCATTTCATTAGTTTTTCTTAAAAATTTAGGCTTATTTTTAGCTACACTCCTTGGAACTCCATCTTAATCTAACTTTGCCCCTACAATTCAAAAGTCACAATTTTACTCACTAAAACTCAAAATTCGTTCTACTTTGACTGTGGACCCTTCTTGTCCCTGAAACTTATTGGTCGCCTCCTAAAACATATGTGGGACCCAACACCAATAAAACTATGTCACATGTGCAATAAATTTGATTATAAATCTT